TGCATTGGGGGTGGGTGTGTACACATTATGGCTGAAGTAGATCTTTGTAAGCTTTCATATAACTAAGTTTTGGGGTTTTTTCTGTTAGTCATGTTAGAGTTCTTGTAATGTCAGGCTTAATTCTCCCTTTAGGAGATTGCTGTCTTTGCCTGAGGCTTCAACCTGAGCTGTGTTTTCCATCAGAGTATCCAGTTTAGCTTGAAGCACTGGTTCTTAGACAGTTTATTTGCCCTTGGGCATTTTAGCTGATCTTAGAGATAAGGATTAGTAGTCCAGGAACCAAGTAATGAAGCATGCAAGGTCAGCTACTACAGTAACAGGAGTTAGAACTGACCTGACACTGGCAGCACATCTTTTCATCCACACCTTTTCGTTTCTCCACGTTTGATTATTTTACATTTTTGACTTTTTACATTTTTACATTTGATTTTTTATCCTTCCTTTACACTTTTCTGTAAGATGTAAGCTACGTGTGTTTCCAGCTAGTCATTTGACATACCCTTCTAACAGAGAACATGCTTTATTTTTTGGACCCTTTCCTCTGTTTTGTTATTCGTACTGTGACACGTCTCTTAAATACTTCCCACGAAATCTAGGGGCTTATCTAAAGCAAAACCCAGCTACTTTATTTATCTGAACCTTGTCAGCTGTTGAACAGGAATGTCAAGACTGAATGACGATGAGTTTTTATTAACATTAATTGGTTTATAAAGGTTTAATCTAGCTAGATGTGTTCAATTTCATAAGTAGTTTAAATATGGAGATGAGGTGATCCAGTAGATCTAAAATCAGAAGAACAGGTGCTTTTGTTAAGTAAAAGGAAAGAACTGCCCACCCCTTCTCCTCTACTAAACACCAGACTATGGTGTTGGAGTATGGGTATGTTGGCTATTAAATGGTCTAATTCCCCTTAAAGTTTTGCAAAATGAATTCAGGCTTTGCAAGATGACAGCATTTTCACAGGGAGCATGGATTTGAAGCAGCAAACTCTGATGTCGCTCCCAGGTGTTAGCAGGAAGCACCAGAGGTGCACCTTGTTTGCCTGAAGGTACCAAAGTTGCAGAGATGAGTGCTGATTCTGAGTCAGGGTTGCTTTGTGATCTCCCTACCTGGTTTTATGTGATGCTTTTCTGTCTTTTCAAGGGGCAGGGAATGGTAAAATGCAAGTCAGAATTTTTTTTTTTTAATTAATTTTTTTTTTTTTAGTAAATCCTGTTTATTTAGAAAAAATAGCCACAAAGTTGTGTTTGTTCATGCTCTGGAAAAAAACCTTCCTCGCCCACCAGTACCAAAATTCTTTCTCCTGAACCACATCCTCTTTGGCGTGTTTTGAGCGAAACTCAGGACTGCTGCTCTCCATCTTCATCTGTTGCACGCAGAGTCTGCTAGTAATTTCTCTTCTATTTTATTTAGCTAGTTCTTGCTCAGGTCTTGCCATATGGTCAGCAGCCTTTCCAGTTTTTGGTTATCTCTGCATAAAAGGGGCTTTATTTACTTAGATTTTTTTTTTGTGTATTCTTGGACACTTTATTAAGCAGTTTACCATGTAGATATACTTAACACATGGCATGTTTTGCATGCATGTAAACTTTAATCACGTATATCCCAGGATGCTTAGTCTCTGCCACAAATGTTTTCATGCAAGTTCATCTTGTAGCATTAGGAATATACAGAACTGTGATAATGCCTTGTGCCTTTGTGCTGGTAACGCTTAGGGTCCATTTCCCTTTTTGTAGCAATCATTTGGACAGTCATCCCTTCGCTTCAGGTCCTGGTGTTGTCTGAACAGTTGCTGCCTGTGCCTGCCTGTGCCAAAATGTCTTCATCTGGGTAGCTGAGTTTACCTTTCTAATCTTGGCAAAATAGTAGTTTGAGCATAAAAATGGCAAGACTACCAGGTGACTTCAAAGTTTGTTTTTGGTGAGCTGGGATAAATTTTTGTACCTGCAAACATTCATTGATTTGAGATGTGTGAGCATGCGTGCATCTCAGTGGGTTCGCAGAAGCTTTATTCACAGTTATGGTGGAGCGTTGGGACTGAGCATCCGAAAGAAATGTGATTGCTACTTATATTGGAGAAACAAATACAGTTTTAGGGGTTTCTTTTGTTGAGCATCTGGGAAATAACAAGGGGAATGAAATCAATGTAGGTGGTGATAAAACTTGAATTACTGCAGTTCAGCGTACAGGGCATGTTAGCACAAAGACAGAATCTTGCCAGAAGACACAGGTGAATGGATTCATTTAACATGAGCAGAAACTGTTTCTGCTCAGTTGTTGAATGTAGAGTGTTTTTGGAACATTAATACAAGAAATTTTCATATCTTTTTTTTTTTTTTTTTCCAGTGTGTTGTTTATTTTATGTTTTCTGGAAAATCTCCTGGTTAACATACTGACTATATCCCCAAACACTCAAAGAAATATTAAACATGTGCAGCAAACTGTCACAGTTTAAAAGTGAGGGTAAGGAGGACTCTTTTTTACAGGAACAAAGGGAAATAAAACATATATATAAGATCTGAATTTATACGTCCACGTGAGTTTATCCAACTCAGGGAGGATTATGTGGCACAAGAGATTCTGAGTACCTGGGTAACTGTTATTTCAAAGGTGAGCTACTGGTCACCCGAGCAGCAAAGCTGATGAGCAGAAGGGGCATCGGCCTTCGCATGAGGTTCAGCTGTAAACAACTGGGAGCAGTAATTTGCTAAACTATTGCCACCTAATAAACAGATCTGTCTACACTCTGAAGCGGCTCCCATAAGACTTCTGTAACTGATTTTTAGTATTTTCTTTTCAAATAAATGTTTATACATATCTACTCTGTGGGGTATGTTATTGATTACAATATGACCCGTTATTGCTGAGAAGGTTTGTTCTTCTAAACAAATAAAACTGAATAATCTCTCTCATTTTACCTAATCAATATCTTTAGAAAGTGGATTTTTCCCTTCTTCCTCACCACATCTCCTCCAGGAATTAAGTGGTTTTTATCTAGTTTAGAAGGCTTAAAAAATCCCCCAAATATTTAAAATTTTTTGTTGACGTATAAAAATATGTATCTGCTATTGTAAGCAGGCTCACAGGTGAAGTTTTTCATGTATTGGACATGGTTCTGGTCAGCCGGCTTTGGGAGGCCCTGCTTGAGCAGGGGGATTGGACCAGATGACCTCCAGAGGTCCCTGCCTGCATCAACCATTCTGCGGTTCTCTTATTAATATATGGATAAATAGTATTAAAATTTGTAACAGCTGATGGAAGAATGTCTGTAATCTGGTTTGAAAGCTTTAACTCTAGCCCTTCTTCATCAGGTAACATAGATAAAGATATGATTTAGCTTTAGAGGTTTCCTTTGGAAACAATTCACTGGCATTTCGCTGATAAAGTCAGAATTTAGTAACTGAGACAAATAAATAAATGGCATATTCATAAGAATATTGAAGAAGCCTCTAGATGGCTATTTTATGTATTTTGAAAACACCTCTGGAGTAGTGACTAAAAAGTGAGAATGACAAAATGGACATGAAATACAGGGTTGCAGATGTATTGTTTCAGCTTACAGGTTTACTGCAGAGGATGGCCAGTACTGGAGAGCTGCTTATTCAGAGTTTTACCCTAATACTTCAACGTGCCCTTCTAAGCTTATTTTAGGATTTAGGGCATGCAATTGTATACCAGTTGATTTTTGATCATTATTGTGGTATCAGAATGGTTCTGAAGTGTTCGTTGAGTTGAGTCTGTCCTCTTGAAACAAAGACACCTTTTTTTTTCCCTGTCTGTGAAACAACGAGTATTTTTATTCCCACTTTAGAAGTGGGAAATGAAGGCAATGAATGATTTAATATCGTGAGTATTTGCAAATTTGGGCATACATCTAGATCCTGTTTTCTCTTTTTTCTCTGCGTGTTATTTTCCTCTGTATCTGGCTTTATGTACAACTTCACTTTAAAAGCGTTGACTTCAGCTGCAGCTGTAATGCTCAGTACTACTGCAAGTCAGATCCAAAGGTCTCAACAGAAGCACTAGAAAATGAGAAAAATGTGAATAATGCCCAAATGTGAAAAAAACATTGAAGGAAGTTGTTAAGGAACTTGTCCATTACCTTTTAGTGATCCTGTGATGTCAGATGGGGAATCATTCACTCCAGTTATCTCTGCACACAGCAGTGGTAGAAGGAGCCCTGAAAGGGAAATAATTGCTTTCAATAGTCATGAAACTGTCTGCAGCTTTCTGAGAGGAAAGAAGTCACTCCATATCGCACTATGAATGTCAGAGAAACTTTGTGATTGTTTTTTTGTTTGTTTTTTTCCCTTTTTTTATTTCTACAAGGCATAGCTGTTCCTAAATGGAAGACACTGAAGCCTTACATCTAGTGGTGCATATTTTTCTTCTTCTTTGCATAATTTGTGTAAAATTAATTGTTGTTTGTTGGGTTTTTTTAGTTCTCCTTCATCTACAGGTAGTGGTTGAAATCTTGAGTGTACTGAGAACAATAATGTGGGGGTTTTTTATGCTCTCGTTGTCTTATTTTTCCTGAAGTCTCTCATATTAGTGGTCTTCAAAATAATTCTCCAGTCTGATGTTGAAATAATTGAAGCAGTGAATTTTAATTTCATTATGTGTCATGGGGAAAAAATTGCTCTTCTTACAAACTGTTCACTTACTGGCTTTTCATTGCTTTTCTTCGTGATAAAGTGGTGAAGGAAGTATGGTATCAGAGCGTTTACTACTGTAATGTCAAATCATGGCAATGACCTAAATAGTGCTGACACAGAATAGCTTTCCAGACAGATAGAATGGTAACAGTCAGACATTTTAATTAGCATAAAGACTCTTGATGTATTTTATCAAAAGGTTTATTTAAAAATAGTAAATATACATCCTTTTTGAGAGTCTGCTGGGGATGGTAGTGAAAGTGGGTTTTTTAATAATTCTCTAATAATTATAAGAACTTACAGAGCTAAGCTGTTAACACTGTGTTTTTATTTTTCTTTTCACAGCCCACATACTGGGTGGCAGAATTACCAGCCTGATGTGCCCCGAATTCCCACTGCTTGCATCTCTGTGGAAGATGCTGAAATGATGGCACGGATGTCTTTGCGGGGCACTAAGATCGTTGTGCATCTGAAGATGGGGGCTAAGACGTATCCAGACTCTCTTTCCTTTAACACTGTGGCAGAGAGAGTTGGAAGCAAGTACCCAGAGCAGGTGAGTGAGAACATGCGAAAAAGAATCTTACTGTGTTCTTTAAAAGTAGAAAAAAGCAAACCCAAAGAACATCTTTTCCTAAGAAATCCCTCAAATGAGTAACTCCTATTCACCTACTCTTTTACATTTCAGACATACCAGCTTTTCAGTCTTTTTCGGGTAGCAGGTTTGAAACCACCAGGCTCAGTTCTAATGTACTAGGGTATGTTTTAGAAAACTGGAAGAATTACTGTGTTCTAAAACCAAGAAATTCAACTAAACTGTACACAGTTTAACCTCCTACTTTTTGTTTCCCTGGCTTAAAGCTCACTTGAAATAGTACGATCTGCATAGGCTTCCAAAGAAGCGTGTGTGTAAGCAGAAATTAAATTCTAGCACTGTAATGAATACAGTTATTGTTTTAAATAACAAGTAGTAAGTTAAGGTTGCTGTAATGATTTGCGCTTGGGGTTTGCTTATTGTTCTGTTAATGATGTTCAAGTGGTTTCTTGATCAGGCAAAGAAGACAGGTTCTGCTGTCTGGAAATATAATTGTTTGCATGAGTTTTTCCTCAAATGTGAAAGTGAATGCAGGGTGTCAGTTGTAACTTTTTTGAGAATATTTTTTCTTGTGCAAATCATTGCTTCATTTAGCAGGATTGCATGTGTTTTAGTTTGGAGTAATAAACCATGTGCACTAAAATGTATCTGCAAGTTGTGCTTGAACACTAGTGAATCCTAAATTGTTGGTTTCCATTTTAAGACTTTTCTTCTTGCTTTCTCTTTTCTTCTAACTTCTTAGCCAAAAACCATACAAACTAAATGTGTGGTGCTGAAGGATTTATGCCTGGTATGAGGTCTTCTACATCTGCTTACAACATGGAATTAGTTTTCTGGCGGTATGGTTTGTTGTGAAAGTGCTGACGCAACTTCGATTACAGCAGCACTAGAAGTTGCTGCTAGACTACATCCACTGAGCCACGATTCTTTTTCAAACATTGTAGTTTTCTAACTTCACTGGAAAATAAGAATTACTATCTGTGTCCTTTAAACCAGGCATAGCTCTTAAAAGGTTTTATATTTCCTGAGGTGATAGTTCTGTAGATCCTCAGTGTTAGCATGAATGTAAGGTTTCAGAAGCTTGATCACTGGGCAGGGAGAAAGTAACTGCCCTCATGATGGATTGGTTTACATACCATCACCTGTGGGTCTGGCTTCATGAAACATGTATTTACTGAGTTAAAGACAATGACCCAACTTCTACATTAGGATTCAGTTAATTTAATTTTATGTCATCTGTATTTTTAGCCATGTGTCTAACCAGCTAATAGGCTGTCTTTCCTGAATTGTGTTTGGTGTATTTAAAAATTCAGCATTTCAATTCAGCTTATGAAGTGTCTAAATGTAACCTTCAAAGATGTGTTAAGGTGCTTGCCTGTACTTGATTTTCTCTTTGCTGTCCTGCTCTGTTTCTTTAAGTAATGAGATGGATTGGGATCTCTTCACTTCTTCCACTGAGAAGCTGAGTATTTTTAAACACTGGGTAAAGACTTATTTACAAGCCCCCTGCTGATGTTAATGGGACTGGTAGTGGACACACTTTGAAAATGTAACCAAGAAACAGAAAAATAAAACCAGTGAATGTTTAGATTTTTTAGCACTCGGTTCCTCTTGGAAGCTTAATGGGTGCTTCACCATGCTTGTTCCACTGCGTTACTCCGGTAAAAATGGGAACCATCTAGCTATTTAGGCAATAAAATACATTGCAGGCCCAAACGCTTACAATGCCTTTTATGCCAAAGTGTTTCAAAATGCAGTACAAATCCAGGGGAATAGAAAGGTGCCATTTCCACAGGCCAAAATTTCAATTTAAGTTTTGAATTGAAACAAAAGCAAATCTGGATCTCTGAACTCTGGGTGAGAAATCAGCAGTGGGTGGTATTGCTCTTACAAAGGTCTAAAGCAAAACAGTTTGAATTTAGGCTAAAGCCTGTGAAACATAACTGGTCACAGGTATTGCAGTGAATTATAACTTAAAAAAATGAAACTTAATTGAAAATGAGGGTCACTGTAGGATGCTGAGGATATCTGGTGAGAAGTGTTACAGTTCTAGATGTAACTGCACATTAGGCATGTTTTTGTTCATCTCTATGTTGATCAGAATTTAATATACTGCTTAATTTATAAAGAATTCATTAATTCCTCCTGTGAGATTTTAGCATGTTTATTAAAAGTAATCGCCAAGAACCGAAGTCATGTTTGTCTGAAAATTTTATCTGTTACAAGCCAGGTGGAATATTATTACTAAAATCCTTGAAAGGGGAAAAAGATTTGTTGTTTTTTCTTACCTGTTTTTTTTTTTCTTTATTTGACCTCTCTTGTAGCATGTCCAGTTTAGCCCCTCCTTTTGAAGTAATTTCTACAAGTGTTTTGTGTAGATTCTTTCATATAGCAGTGGAGGGGAAAAAGAAATAAAACTAGAAAAATGTTAAGGAAAACAGAAAAAAAAGTAGTTTAAATATTTCTGACATATTTTCCTATAAGTTTGCCTTATTTTAGACTTAGTGTTCTTATAGTCATGTAATACATGCTTTGTTTTGCTATTGCAAGAAATGGTTTTTTATATCATCGAAATTAATACTCAGATTTTTCAAACTTGCAAATCCGTATTTAGGCACCTGTGCTCAACTTCAACGTATTTATGTTTCTGAATAACTTAAAGCAATACAAGAAATATAATTACTGCTTTGTGAATCAAGAAGGTCTCAGGAATGCATTCATCTTCAGAAGCGGTGATGTGACATGGGTGCAGATGTCCTCTTGCTTTTTGAGGCAGCTCTGCACCCAAGGCACACAGGTACTTTTGAATTCAGGTTTCTGTTCCGATTCCACCTTTCTGTTTTGCCAGAAAGTAGCAGTAGTAAAATGCTTTAGCATCAGTTGCTCCGAGTAAGAAAAATGTAGTTTGAAACCTACTGTAAGTCGCAATTCTGCACTGCCAAGTTTTCAGGTGGCGTAGAAAGCCTGAAATCTGAACAGAAAAAGGAAATGGATTTTGTCATGCTGTCGGTGAAGCTCAGTGTCTCACCAATGTCCCTGTTCTGTTTATCTTTGTATTATCCCTTCTAAGTTAGGGAAGGGCTGCTCTCCCCACACAGGACTCTTGCTAATGTTAGGGTGGGCATGACTGTGCATGTTCTGAGCAGAGACAGTCACCATCCTCGCTGTTAGTCCTGAGGTCCTCGTTCAGCGCCTGCTGAGGCCTGAACCCCTGTAGGGGCCCAGAGGAGGTGAGCCTGTGCCCATAACGTCATGAGTTAGATCAAGCTTTTCTTCATGTAAAGAGGTTGGAAGCAGTGGGACCAAACATGCCATGACTTGATGCCCTGGCAGCCTTTCTGAGCTGGGTATCGCATTCTCACAGTGCTTAGGATAGCAGCAAGAGTGAAAAACCTGTGGATTGTGCGACTTAATATATTTAAGCCTGTATGGCTGCTGACAATTGAGCTGAAGAATTTGGGAAATGAGAAAGGTTATGGTGGCAGAACCTGCTGAGGTCCAGGCTATTGCCAGAGACTTTTGCAGTCCGTGCCTGACTTTTGTCTTGGAGAAGGAGTTTCTGAAGCATGCTGTTGAACCTAGGGCACTGCTGTTAGCATCCTTTTGTACTGTATTGTGTATGGGTGAGAAGTTTTATTTATGCTATGTAAGTTGACACTGGAGACTGACTGACTGAGAAATTCACAAGTTAACTAATGTGGTTTTCATTTGAAATTCAGGCAGAGCTGGCAGTAAAACATGTTTGTCTTCTCATTTTAATGCAGATGTAACATGATTGGTCTTAAAAGTGCAGAAGCAACCGTTCCCATCTCTGGGGAAATGCTATAAATAGTGGCTGTTTCTTGTTAGTCTGGCTTCATTGTACCTAATGTGCCAAACACAGAACCAAGAAATACATGATTAACTGAAAAGGTAACAAAGTGCATAAAGATATAACTCTTCTGTAATCCTGACTTTCAGTATCTTCCTGCACTGTGTATTTCTTGGTGTACAATGCTGTTTGACTTATCTTACAGTTACTAAGTGATGGGCAAACTGTTTCCTAAGTGCCCTACAAAGTACATGCATTTAATGGTTGCTCATTATTCTGTGATCTAGCATAAATACTGTAGAGCACAAATGGAAGGGCTCATAAGTGGCTTTTTTGGAATCCTGAATAGCTGTTCCAGGAATTCACTCTACACTGCTTTTTTGCCTCCTGTTTTTATGGAGTGCCATATCTACAAAATGTACCGTTTGAAAAGTGACTCTATTTTGAACACACAGACATAAAAGACCATTGAAGAATGTGCTGTAGCTCTGAGCCAAGTTGGGACAGCACTTTGAAAGTAGCAGTCCTAGGAATGACCTGAGAAACAGAGATGCTAAGGTAATAGATTGTGAAGTTCTTTACCAATCTGCGATTGTTGTAACAGAACCTGTTCTACGAAGGAAACAGCAGCTTATTTACTTTTTCATTCTTCTTACTTTCCCTATTTAAAAAATCATTGCTCTCTTGGAATTTGTGAGACTGGGCAAAGCTCCAGGGAACAAGAGAACATGAAAATTGTCCAGGCTTCTGAGCCTGTTAGGCTTTCATGCACATAAGGGAAGAAATGATTTGTAGACCAAAAAAAAATTCAACCCGAGGGGGGAAAAAAAAAGGCACGACTTCTCTGGAGATGTGTAATACTCACTACAATGTTGTTTTATGGCCTGGCATCAGTTCTACATATGTTAACAAAATGTCTGTCCGTTAGCTCTTTGATGTGGCTTCCAGATATCCCTATACTCAAGCTAAATCATGCATACAATAGAGCTTTGAGTACAAATGTTTTAAGAGCCTGGTGCCATCATGTTATGGCTCCATTATCACATTTTCTCCATGTGGATTGTTTTGCTATTCATTCCAAAATGTTGAGGGGTTTGTAAGTGCACTTCTGTGAGCCTCTCTCCTGTCACTGTAAGCTGATGCCTGCCAT